CCATCTGCCTGCGAAACTGTGTCAAGGCCAGGCAATATGGGACAAATGCTGTCGTGGAGTCATTCAAGCCAGGACTGGGACTTGATATTTACATTTTGGGACTGTCCCATCCAATAAGTGGTCACCTTAGACTTGGGGGAATGCCTGCTGACTAGCACTATAGCACCCTTGTGCCCCAGCCAACCCCTCTGAAACACACCGAGCCAGGCTAGAGCAGCCCCGGGCTGGCAGGCTGACTCCCTGGGCCCCATGCCAGATGCGGTTGCTTCGACCCGACACAACATGCTGTGGTCCCGGGGGGATCACGTGCAAGTGCCACACCTGGGAGTAATAAACTCCAGCACAAACTGTGCTGGAGTTTATTCATTCGCATTAATAGCACATGTAGACAGGCCCACTGAGGCTGGGAATAATTTCTATTCTTTTATTATACTGTTTTATCTCAGATACTTATTAACTTTCATCCTGTTCTCTCTATCACCTAGGTTCTTTTCTGCCACCTTAAACCAAGTCTTTACTACAAACTTTTACTGACACGGCGATACGTTTCATATGTGGTATGATATGTGACTGACAAAGATGTATTGACTATAGTCCCTTGGTAGGGTCAGTTCTGCCAGCAGACCTGTAATTCTGCCAGCAGCGGGGTTTTTTCTCTCCATGGGAGATGGAACATAATAAATTATCAAGAGGGGAATTTTGACATTATAAACTGCATCCGTGCTACAAGTGCTTTGCTGGGGTACTGTGCTAGTACAGCTATATCAGCAAAGCATTCCTGATGCAGATCTGCTTGGAGTGAGTTTTGGGTGTGGCTTTTAGATTGTGGTTTTAGGTTGCATCACTAGGAGCATAAAGTGCAAGATACAGGAAGTGATAGTGCATCTTTACTCAGAACTGCTTAGGCCCCGTCTAGGGTATTGTGTGTAATTTTGGACTCCACATTTTAAAAAGGACATGGAGAAGTTGGAGAGGGACCAGAGAGCAACAAAAATGATAGAAGGCTTGAAAAGCAAGGCATACAAAGAGAAGTTGTAGAAACTCCATCATTGGAGGTGTTCAAGAAGAGGTAGGATAAGCACTGGTCAGGGTTTATGTAGGACTAGCTATGCCCATGCTATTCTATGGGTATTTCCTATGCTTTGGGGCTTTGCTGGTTGCCACATGGGACTGGGAAGGAATTTTTCCCCCTCTTCTTGCAACAAGTGTCAGGGGATTTATTTTTGCCTTCCTCAGAAGCATTGGGTGTTGGCTGCAGCCAAGGCTGCAGATTTTGAACGGGGTGGGACAGTGCTCCTGCTGGGGCTAAAACCCAGAGGTTTCTGGCTAGAGGATCTTACCCCTCCACTCGGAGTCAGACTAATCACCACATTTTGGGTCAGGAAGCAATTTTATCCCAGGGTCAGATTAGTACAGATGGGGGGTGGGGTTTGCTGTCATCTGTAGCAGGGGGTATGGCCCTTTTCTTTGGATCTCCCAAGCATATTTTAACAACACTCGTAGCAGCGGGACACTGACTGCAGTTGTCCCCCTACTTTACTTGTGGCAGGTGCCTTGTAGTTGTGTGACAGGGTTGATTGTTTAGTTTTATTAATAAGTTAGACGAGGATTTGTATGCAATGGTTTGGATAAGGACGAGCTTGCCTCATCAAGCGGGGGTTTGGACTAGATTAGGGGCCAAATTCAGCCCACAGAGCCGTGGCACCCTCCCACAGGGCTCTCCATAGGTTGGGAAATCTGGCATCAGGGGAGCAGTGGCAATTAATACTGCCTTTGCTCCCCACTGCCAAATTCCCAAGCCCCATGAGGCTGGATTGGAGTTGGGCCATGCCCCCTCCCCCCTGAGCAGCTGGATCAGGGCTGGGCTACACTCTCTCCCCCTGCATTGCCAGATTGGGCCTGAGAATGGACTGGGCACTACCTATCTGGCCCATGTGGCAAAAGGTAGGGACCACTGGATTAGATGACCTCTGGAGGACCCTTCCAGTTCTACCCATATTGTATTTTTCCTCAAGGAGCCTCATTTGAGCTTTGTTGGATGGTGCTGGCTAGGAAGGGGCCTGAACTACATTTCAAGTTTGAAATCCTCAAATTTGTGGGTGAATCTTGGAATATAAACCAGGATATCTGAGTTTTGAAGCTGTTCCCTATCCCCAGTGTATCAGATGTGCATTAATGGGGTATTTATAGGGACTCTCCTAAAATAGTGAAGTAGTGAGCTTTGCATCCAGTTCACTATAGGCCAAAACATCACAATATACCACTGCCTGTATCTCAGATCCTCATCCTCACAGACAGGGTGAAGGTTTCCTCCTAATTTCCATTTCACTTCTTTCCTGCTTCCCAATCCTTTCAGCTCTTCCTCTCAGACACTGTGCCTTTGTTACACACTGTCCCTTAAAGCCTGTAGCACTTTTCTTGTCCCCTTCTGTCAGCTAGCCTTCACTCATGCTTTGAATCTTACTTCAAAACTTTCTACCCAAGTTCAATTAATCCCTTGTCTCATCAAATATCTCTTCCTCACGTTCCTGAACTGTTGTCCCACAGCTCATGTATGCTTGTCCCATCTCTCAGATAGTAAGATCTGTGAGATTGGAATGTGCCTTACTCCATTAAGTTCTGTAAACTGACATTAGTTAATCACAGTGGGCATGTCTATATGTGCAAATGCTGTGGGGTGAGTCTATCCCAGAGTCAATTACTTGAGTAAACCCACCTCAGGCAGGCATCTACACATGCAGGGAGCGGGAGCAGATTTGCTGCTCCTGGCACCAGTCTGCTTCCGCTCCCTCTGGTCCTGCATCGGTCACCTGAAGCAGGCAAGGGGAGCTCTAGGCTCAGGGGCTGGCAGCGAGCACAGGTCCAGGAGACAGCTGTCATCTGGTGAGGGCTACAGGGGTCCACCACCAGAGCCCAGGCAGGGACAATGTCCCCCTGCCCTGGCAGCAGGGAGCTCCCTGCCCCCACTCTGCACTCATGGAGCGAGGGCTGGAAGATGATTGTTCCCAGCTCCATGATCATGGACCAGGGGCTGGGAGCCCCTTGCTGTTGTCCCCACCTGGGCTCCAGTGACAGAGTCCACCTCAGCAGCAGGCAGCTCCTGGGGGCAGAGAACAATCTCCCACCCCCTGTCAGCCATCTTCACATGACTTACTGTGCAGTAATTACTCCTGAGTAAATTTGCTACTTGTATTCACAGTTAGCAAATTTACTCAGGAATAGATTAAATGACTGTGCAGTAAGTGTCTGCATGTGTAGACAGCGATGCTTACTGTGCAGTAATTTGTTCTTAATTTGAGTGAAGCGTCTCATGTTGACACGCCCAGTGG